CCAATGTCATGATGGTTATAAACATTATAATTGGATTCATGCACACAGTCGTGTAAAGATTGAGCATGCAATTGGTGTTCTCAAAAACAGGTTTCGATCACTCAAGCAGCTACCAATTTATATTCGTAAAAAGGAAGACCATACTAAGGCTGTTGCTTGGATTATGTGCTGTGTAATGCTCTATAACTTTCTTAATACAGAGAAGGAAGACAGCACTATTTACCAACCAAACATCTTTGTTCCTGAAAATGGGATAGAAATTGATGAAGTTGATGAAGAGATTGGCCTAGAGGCAGAAAGAGCTGCAGGGAATGAGTGGCGGGATCGGATAAGAAGATACTTATATCATAATCAGGATAATTAGGTATGTTTACAGAATTTTCATTGGCAAAAATTAACTTTTATGAAAATAAAGATCAAAGCTCTTCTATACTCAGGCTATTCAGTACTTATTTTTTGTTATTCATCCCTTATCATTTTTCCTTTCCATCCTTCAGTCCTATCATTTTCTCTATCATCAAATTCCACCGATATTTCTCCAACTCCAATTCCCTCTCTCTTAACTCCATTTTCTTCCTCTCCAACTCAAGCTCTTCCTTACGAATTTCACTCTGCTGAACTAGTCGCTTTTCCAGAAATTCATATTTCTTTTCAGCCATTACTGCAATTGCATCCCCTAAACTTGTCACGGTACCTTTCTTTCTTCTCTTCCGAGCCTCCTCATCTTCCTCCTCCAGGACCGGAAACTCTCTTTTTTTGTTGGCTTTCTTGGCTCCCTTGCCAGTGGCTGGTAGGAGGGAGGTGTTGTTGTATGGGTAGTCAGGTTGATTATAGGTGCTAGAGTAAGTTGTTGACTCCCTGGTAGCTATTAGTGATTGTTTGCTTCCAGGATATCCTAAATCAAAGCTACAACTAATCTTTTAGTATTAAGGTCTTTTTTCTTTCTCTCTTCTTATTTTTATCATCTCTATTACTCAATATATATAGGATAAATCATGATGAAGAAAGAAAAATAAATATTACCTGTCATGTAAACCAGATGGAGACCTGGTATAGGTAATATCTGAGTGCATCTCAACCTCAGAATCAGGACTTCTATTGACATCAAGATCATCATCTATCTCAATTGGATTCTGTGCAGCCTGAAGAGTTTTAATCAACGCTGCAGAAGCTGCAGTAGTCTCCTCACCGGATGAGCCTGATGAAAACAAACTAGGAGGACGAAAGTTTGGCCGGGTACCCCAAATCGCATCGACTCGAGAGAAGAAGGGGCACTTCTTTTCTAGCTTGTCTGTATTTCTCTAATATTAGTATATGTAGACTTGCTTTAGATCTTGACCTACCATGTAAAGAGACAAACTTTCCAGGCTCAAGATCCTCTTCTTCCAAGCCCCATCCTGATTGATTCGCAACTTCGAGTGCCTCCCGGTAAGACTTTTTAAGGTTGTCAAACTTATATCCAACTGGAGTCTCTGATCGGGATGGAATAGTTGATGCTATTGAACTTATCCAACGTTTTTTTGTTTCTCCAGATCCTTTCTGAGTTCGGCGTAACTTAATGGGATCTTCCAGCCAAAGAACAATTTGTTCAATTTCTGATTTAGACCAATCACTGGTATTTGACTCCATTGTGTTTGTATCAGAAAAGTGGAAGAGGAATATTTAGAAAAAAGAGGTATTTAGAACTCAAATAAACTGGAAAGAAGAAGCAAATAAAAGGGAAGGAGGATGGTAGGTGAAAAGGACCAAGTGGTAGGGATTAAAATAAAAGAAGTTTCCGAAAAAAACTAAAGAAATAAAGAAAAAATAAACCAAAGACTTATTTCATAGGGCTGGGTGTAGGACTATACCAGAGACTACATGACCCCTCTATCTAATAGGGTATAATTAGAAAGATGTGGATAGAAAACATAAACTGAAGGTTGCAAACAGACCTCTAAACATCTGTTCAAAACTTGAACCTTGAACTGCAGATTTGAAGGTAGACTAACCCTTTTGGTCAAAAACTCCTGCTGGCAAACTTGGGTTTGAACTACCATTTTGAATGTAAATTCATAGTCAGTAAGAGTAACTTTGAATACCCTTAGTGAGGGGGAGGGATGTTAGGGGGGTTGAGGGGAGAGGGTGTAGTAGAGGAAGGGGTTACGAGTCGGTGGGAATGGGTGTAGGACTTGGTTCTTGGTTTCAGGTTGTTAATATATTATTGAGTGGGGCAGGCTGGTATCATAGCCAACTACGGTCTCGAGACGTTTGTAGTCTATCATTAGCCAAATGAACACTTAAGACAATTACAAAGCTTATGTCACTTACTGACGCCCATCTCAGCATCCTTTTTCTCTCCCTCTCCTAAGCTTATAATACCAAATTCAACTCTACGCTACCGCACAAACGAGCGAGATACTACCCAACCATGCAATGGATAATCTAGCTCTACTATACAGCAATATCACGAAGTGTCAAAAAGCTCAAGAGTGGGATTAAAAATAATAATTCAAATAATATAATACAAGACAAATAATATAATACAAGAATTAGTTGCCACTGACCGCAGGGACAAATCCCTGCTGTCGCATTTCCTCCTCCACCCCAATCCGAAGTCGTTCCAGACTTAACGGCAACTGGGTTCCCGGGTTCAGACCACCGGGAACCATCCCCCCAAACAGCTCATCCACCGTTATCCAGGGGTCTGGATGGGGCTCGCTCGGCGAAGGAAAGATCGGCTACAAGATGAGAGGGTTGGTTAGTAGGATGCAAGAAAGATAGAGGAAGGTACGACAGGGAAGGGGGGAGCATACGTAAACCGACATCACTGGTGCACCACCAGCCACATACCGGGAGAAGATCAGGGTGGCCTTAACTCGGTTGTGTATAGAGTTCGTTACGGGGACTCCGGGGCCCCGAAAACTGCGAGTCCCTGCCCCCATTCCCCGCCCCGCCCCGGCGTTTGACCCGGGGCGGGGCGTATTTTCTCCTCCATTCCTTTCCCAGCCCGATACGCCCCCCCGCCCTAGCCATCCCCTGTACGGGGCCCCGCTATTGCCCCCACCAAATTATATGGCTGGGAGCACAATTGGGGTCGCCCGGTAGCCCCCGTGTGGGGGGCGGGGTGGGGAGGGGCGAGTTTGGCGGCGCCCCGGGGTCGTAACGGGAAGGGCCGGGGGTTTAAGGGACGGCAGGGGACGGTGGGTGACTGCGGGTGACGGCAGGGAACCGTCGATGGATGGTCCTTTACTCTTATGTGTCGGGCAAGTTTAGGAAAAGACCGGACGGGACGACAAAATGCAGTCCGTCCTGGTCCTTCATTCCTACCTGTCGGGCATGTTGAGAAAATGACCGGACGGACTGCCCCGTTGCGAACACTGGGGTTGGTTAGTAGGATGCAAGAAAGATAGGGGAAGGTACGACAGGGAAGGGGGGAGCATACATATAAAGACATCACTGGTGCACCACCAGCCAGATATCGGAGGAAGGTCAGGGTGGCCTTCATTCGGTTGTGTACACGGGATCTATACAATTTGAACAAGATAACGATCTTGAGGGCCCCCGCTGTCCCTCGCTGCCACAATTGGAGGTCACGCAGTAATTTTTCCTGTGATTCCGTCCACCCAGGCTCAAGGACTACCGTCGGAAATGCCCTCCTTATCCCATTAATACAGGGGCTGTAGGCGAGGTCTGGTATTTTTGAGGACCCCGAAAACGTTCCAAGAAAGTGATCATGAGCTACACAATTATCAGTAGAGGCTAGGGAGCTTTGTAGGACAAATGGACATACTAATGAGGCCATCCATTATTGCTTCAACTGCTGCCGGGGTGAGGAGATGGTCATACGCCCACAAGTTGAGTTCCGTCCTCATCCAAATAGCTGCAGTCTCGTGAAGGGCGGTTGGCATCACTACCCTGAGGTAGCCGTCGGGTGCCACAAAGTGGATTCTAGTAATAATTAGTATCTCCTCCATTGTGCTGGGCATATACTTACCTCCAGCCAAGGGTATCGGTATTATCATTCGGATAAAGAAGATTTCTGAGAACTGTAGAGGATACCGTTGGATCAAGTTGTCTGAATACAAGAAACTCGCTGTTGTGAGTTTCAAGCTCATGCTTGGTTGTTCTGAGAATTTGTGTAGCCATGGTAAGGTAGTTTCTCTCTGGCGGTTGAACGAAGGGGTTATGGATGGAGTTTGCGTAGTTTGTGTATATTTCTCTGGTACACGTATGCGGGTTGGGACTGCTGTAGCAGTTCTCCAATAGCCCTAACCTCTACCATTGCCGGACATAGTCACGTGGTTGATAGGTGAGTATTCACCCTCCTACACCAGCACACACGCAACGGACCCTTGTAGGCTGCGGCGCGGGTGGTCATTCATGATGGCAGATGTTAAAAAATTATGGTACTGTACAACCCTGTTTGATTTTTCGGTCGTTGCAGTATGTTCGCTAGTCGGTTGTTTTTATTGAGCAATAAGTACAGATGATGGACTTTTTCGGATTGCGGGGGTGCTGTGATACCAGCATGAGACTGTTATACATTACCATAATTTTGTAACATCTGCCATCATGAATGATCACTCATGTCGCAGCCTACGAGGGTCCGTTGCGTGTATGCTAGTGTAGGAGGGTGAATACTCACCTATCAACCACGTGACTATGTCCGGCAATGGTAGAGGTTAGGGCTATTGGAGAACTACTGCAGTCTGCAGCGGTCTCAACCTGCTTACGTGTACTGTACCAAAGAGAAATATTCATAAACTACGGAAGCTCTGTCTCTAACCCCTACGTTCAACCACCGGAGAGCAACTACCTTACCATGGCTACACAAATTCTGAGAACAATCAAGGAGGAGCTTGAGACTCACAACCGCGGGTGTCTTGTATTCAGACAACTTGAGCCAACGGTATCCACTACAGTTCTCAGACATCTTCTTTATCCGAATGATAATACCGATACCCTTGGCTTGAGGTAAGTATATGCCCAGCACAATGGAGGAGATGCTAATTATTACTAGAATCCACTTTGTAGCCCCCGACGGCTACCTCAGAGTAGTGATGCCAACCGCCCTTCACGAGACTGCAGCTATTTGGATGAGGTCGGAATTCGTCTTGTGGGCGTGTTATGGTCTCCTCACCCCGGCAACCGCTACAGCAATAAAGGATGGCCTGATTAGTATGTCCATTTGTCCTACGAAGTTTCCTAGCCTCTACTAATAATGGTGTAGCTCATGATCACTTTGTTGGAACGTTTTCGGGCTCCTCTAAAACACCAGACCTCGCCTACAGCCCCTGTATTAATGGGACAAGGCGGGCATTTCCAACGGTAGTCCTTGAGTCTGGGTGGACGGAATCACAGGCACAATCACTACGTGACCTCGAATTGTGGCAGCAAGGAACAGCGGGGGCCGTCAAGATTGTGATCTTGTTCAAATTGGCTAGATCCCGTGTACACAACCGACTTAAGGCGACCCTCAGTGTCTCCCAATATGTGGCTGGTGGGGCACCAGTGATGTCGGTTTACGTATGCTCCCCCCTTCCCTGTCGTACCTTCCTCTATCTTTCTTGCATCCTACTAACCAACCCTCTCATCTTGTAGCCGATCTTTCCTTCGCCGAGCGAGCCCCATCCAGACCCCTGGATAACGGTGGATGAGCTGTTTGGGGGGATGGTTCCCGGTGGTCTGAACCCGGGAACGCGGTTGCCGTTAAGTCTGGAACGACTCCGGGTTCGGGTGGAGGCAGAAATGCGACAGCAGGGATTTGTCCCTGCTGTCACTAGCAACTAAGTCTTGGATTATATTATTTGAATCATCATTTTTCATCCCACTTTTGAGCTTTTTGACACTTCGTGATATTGCTGTACAGTAGAGCTAGATTATCCATTGCACGGCTGGGTAGTATCTTGTTCGTTTGTGCGGTAGCGTAGGTAGAGTTGAATTTGGTATTATAAGCTTAGGAGAGGGAGAGAAAAAGGAGGCTGAGATGGGCGTCAGTAAGAGACACAAGCTTTGTAATTGTCTCAAGTGTTCATTTGGCTAATGATAGACTATAAACGTCTCGAGACTGTAGTTGGCTATGATACCAGCCTGCCCCACTCAATAATATATTAACAACCTGAAACCAAGAACCAAGTCCTACACCCATTCCCACCGACTCGTAACCCCTTCCTCTACTACACCCTCTCCCCTCAACCCCCCTAACATCCCCCCTCCTCCCTAAGAAAAAGATCCACAACAACCGCATCCAAAGTTGTCCCACACCTCTCGACAACCTCCCTCCCAACACCCTCCCTCCCATTCCCATCCACATCCAAAAGTCCCCTCAGCACCACATCCAATACCCTCCCGACATCATCCACGGGCCGGATAATCTCGTCCACTTGCAGCAACTGCGGGCAAATTAGGAGCACAGCACACACGTCCTCCGCCAGGAAGTGTAGGTTGGCTACGGCCCGGTATAGCACTTTGGCCGATGAAGGTTTCTATTTCGGCATGGTTTCTTGTTTTCTTGAGTGAGGGTCCAAACAGAGAAAAAGCCGTGGGGTGATGTTTGTGTAGGATGATCTGGTCCTCCAGCGCCAGTGGTATGTCTCTTGGTATATGTTGGTGGAGCAGACTTGGTAAAAACAAGAGATGTTTTTTTTAGAAGGAAAATTCTTCGAAGGTTGGCCGTTGGAGCAATAACAGATGCCCTCATTAGTATGTCCATTTACCTTACAAAGATCCCTAGCCTCTGCTGATAATTGTATAGCTCATGGTTACTCTCTTGCAACATTTTCAGGCTCGTCAACAATACCAGAACTCGCCTACAGCTCCGGTATTAATGGGATAAGGGGGGCATTTCGAACGGTTGTCCTTGAGTCTAGGTAGACGAATCACAGGTACAATTACTGCGTGACCTCCAATTGTGGCAGCAAGGGACAGCGGGGGCCGTCAAGATTGTTATCTTGTTCAAATTCTATAGATCCCGTGTACACAACCGAATGAAGGCCACCCTGACCTTCCTCCGATATCTGGCTGATCGTGTACCGGTAATGTCTTTATATGTATGCTCCTTCCTTCCCTATCGTACCTTCCTCTATCTTTCTTGTATCCTACTACCCAATCCCCTCATCTTCCAACCAATCTTTCCTCCTCCTTGCCAGCATAAACCTGATCCATGGATAACAATAGATAAGCGTTGTGGGGGAAGAACTCCCGATGGCCTAAATCCGGAAACACAGCTCGAATCGACGTGTATCAATTTGGCAATCTCCTCATTAGCTCTGGGTTAGTCATGTACGACGACGTCAAGTGGATTTCTTTCCATTCCGGTTACGATTTTGGCTACCATGTTAAGATTACGAGTTGTCTCCCTCTCCCTATGGAGGAGAGTGGTTTTCGAACCCTCCTGAGCAAGTACTTCCCGGCGCTTTACGACATCAAATTTCTTATAAAGAGTTGCCCCACTCTCAAAGGTGGGTTACAAGACATTGCGGAAGAGATAGGCGTTCCCCCGGTCGGACCGCAGCACCAGGCTGCAAGTGATAGCTTTTTGACTGTGAATATCTTTTTCGAGATGGCGGGAAAGTTCTTCGACGGAAGGCTGATGACGCCAAGTATCTGTACGTTATATGATCCATATGCTTGTATGGATTAGTATCGTGAATTGACATCTACACACAGTGGACAAGTGCGGGGCCTTAATGGGTCAGTAATTTTTTCACGAAATATCAACGAAGTCGGAACCGTAGTTTACAATAATGGTGTTCCCGTGCCATCAACACCCATAACCGACAGAAACGGCCAGAACCCACAGAAGATTCTCCAGTGTAGAGCTGCGCCAGTCGAATTAGCGGGACTGTTTAAGGTACTGCCTTCATCCCGCCCATAGGAGGGAGAAAGCAACCCCCCAAATTTCCATATTATGACCCTTTTCGGTATCCAGGATGGAGCACCCCCGGACGCTCGAAGCAAAGAGTTTATAAACTCCAGCTGGCTATCTGACCGGTGACCATACCGATCCAACACATCCCTCTGATTTCCCACAAGCAAGGGATGACGACCTCCCTCTCCGTAAATTTCCAAACTTCCCATCTGGTTTGTCGAGAACAGATGTGAGGTTTATTTCGACCCGCGGTCATGAGGGCGGTATTTCTTTCCTGGGGGTTTCGCAGCGGGAATTGATCCGGGTTGTCCCGGGTAGTCATAGGTTTTCCGCTCCCTCCACGCGCTCAAGAGGGGTGGTGTTGAGTCCGGTGTATCAGACTCTGAATCTGATGTTGGTTTCCCGGCATCCTGGTCCGGAGTATTGGAGATATTTTTGCAATGGGTGAAATATATGTAGCTAGTCTGACTAGAAGTATCAGCACCAAATCGAGAGGAAACAGGGCCTGGGATTAAGAAAGCGGATGAGGATCAAGTGTTTAAAACAAGACATGGTTAAAAGGTAGCTACGGACCCGACAAAAAGAGAAATCATAGTCGATCACTCGGTGAAGGGCTATATCATACCACAGGTGTGCCCTGGTGTCGACCTTTTTTTCCCCGGGGAATGGCCGATCCACCCCGTTGCGCCGGCACGAGGATCGAGAAATCTCCTCCACCTCTCTTGGGCATTAAGCTTTACCAACTCCTTGGGATTAGCTGTGCCTTGTCCCTAGGCTATAAGCTGGTTTTCCAGCAAATTCCGGGAGCAACTTGAACCTTTCACCAGCGCAGTATACAATGTGAGGTTAGCAAGGAGGAGACGAGAAAAATCCATTATCCCGGGACGGATTGGTGGGTACCTTCGGACAGATTTCGTTAGGGGAGGGTAGAGTCTGTAATTTAATTGGCAAGATCCTGAGACCTTGGTAAATTTCGAAGATAATCTACTCTTTTTTTACCCAGCTCTGTATTCCCTGGCAATGTTTGGCTATCTCATGTTGTACCCAACCCAAATACAACCCGCTGTGCCCACTGTAACAGTTTTAGAAGTCAGAACTGTAGCAATCACACGGTTGTCCTGGCAATCACCAATGTTCGCATACCTTGAGTTTTCGTGAGTGGGTTGGTGAGTAAACTTGGATAGCGGGGCAGGGTATAGTTCGGCCTTTGCAATGCGCTTAAATCGGTCGAGAGACCCACTTTCGCATTCACCAAAACTCGCCAAAACCCCCCAAGACTCAAGAAAAACCTCTTCCAAGATGCTGGCGGGCCTTATCTTTCAAGAAAGCTTTCACAAATAATATCACACGCTCGTCGAGATGGAGATGGCGGATATCGCGTACCCAGCGGACCTAGGGAATCGGAGCCTTCAGTAAGAGTGCCTTACTAGTCTCGACGGAGGGGGCCGACCGGTGACGTTAGGGAGAACCTACCGCCCGGGCGGCGGTCGGGACCGAGTGTACCGTACTCGAGTACATAATCGCGAGCGATGCAACCACACCTTTTTTTTTTATAGCCTGAAGCGGGCGTGAATTGGGTCAGCCTAGCTGACAACATGAGCCAAACATACTAATTTGGTTTCGCGGTGTAGTTGGTTATACCTGTCTAACACGCTGGCGGTCCCCAGTTCGAGCTCCCGTGAAATGTTTTTCCTCTAACCCTGGTCATCAATGCCACCTTTGCGCTCCACTCTTACCCACTCTACTCCTTGTATGGTTCCGGAAGACTAGCCTCAACACCAACTTTGAAACAAAAAAGTGTGACAATTTGCCACGCAACGCCAGGTGTAACGCTTACAAATCTGACTTCACAGCCACTCAGGTTCTGCAACCCTAGTACGATAATTCTTATGGGCTGAATTTTTTTGTTTTGACATTTTGTATTTAACTTAGCATAAGATCTTAAAACCTTCTCAATTTCGTAAATATTCTTTCTCTTATATTCCTCTCTCTAAATCCTGGTTGGTACTATGTCTCCAATATGTCCATTTTTGTGGTTCAAGAATATTAATTAATCTATAAAAATAGTTTTATAATAACTCTGTATTCGACCACTTGAATTCAGCTATAAAGACAATCAGAATAATATCAAATCATGGAGGCAGAAATCGATGAGGCACAGCTCCGCAGAGAGCAAGAACGAGTTTCAACCAGAGAACGAGTACGCAAATACCGCGCGGCAAAAAAAGCAATACGTCCACCAACCTCTATTACTCCAATGTCCAGTACAGAACGATCACGCAAGCATCGTCTTAAGAAAACGACGATAGCAATCGAAGCAGTAAATGCTACAATTCCAGAACAAATAACTTCAAGTTACAAGAGTAACAAGTCTTATCCCTCGAGAGAGAGAACCAGACGATATCGAGAACGTCTCCACGCTAAGCAGCAAGAGTTTAAGCGCATGCCATTAAGTCGTGCTGAGCGTCACCGTCGATGGTATGCAATGAAGATTCAAACTCAGTTGAAAAATCAAGTATTAATCAATTCTTCTGAGCTACAGCAGGTAGAGTAAAGTTAATTACTTGATCCTAAAATTGAAACTAATATAAGTGTTATAGGAGCATGAACTACGGAGAGAGGCATATTGTAGTTGGCCAAGACTTTCTGGAAAATTACAGCCCTTTAAAGAAGAGATCCTTGAGTCAGCATTAAAACGAATTGTCAAAAAGATTAAGTCTATGAGAAAAAACAAAGGCTTAACCGGCATCAATTTGGTTTTAGACTGGAATGTACAGCTTTATACATTCTTAAAGCTACAACTTAAAGCAGAGAGGAAGTAGCGGATTGCAGAGTTGAGGAGAAATCCTACAGATCCAATTTCTCCTAAAGAGTCACGTAAAGAGTTAGCTCTTTTAGTAGCAAAGGCAGGTGGTTGGGGTAACTGGGTAATGAGGAGGATTTTGAAACAAGAAGTGGAGTATGTTCGGTCTGGAAAACTTCCTACACCAAAGCAGGGAAAACATGTGAAAGTTGCAAGTTGGTTAACTGATGAGGGGACTATGCTTGCTATGAGAGAATATATGTCCCAAGCTGGAGAAGGTATGTGATTTGATTATTTTTATAGTAAATTTCTAAATCTAGTTTGAAAAGTTCTCTAATATAGACAATTAGCAATGGATTCAACTGGACTAGCAAAAGCAATTACAAATTACTGGTCAGAAGTATACCATGATAACCTCCAAGCCTCTGAAGACCCAAGATCTCTGCCACTAGTTTCTACCGCAGGAATCCATCGACAAATCAAGCGTGCTCTTTCTAGCCGCTCTGCCCGAGCTTGGTTATTAAAACTAGGCTGGAATTGGAAAGAAGTCAACAAAGGAATATATAAAGATGGGCATGAGAGGGAGGATGTAAAGCATTATCGCAATAATATCTTCCTCCCAAAAATGCGAGCCTTGCAGCCATCGTTGATGGAATAG